TATTATATCATATTATATGATATTATATTATATTATATTATATTATATTCTATTCTATTCTATTATATTATATTATATTATATTATATTATATTGTATTATATTATATTATATATAGTATATATATAATATATTACATATATTATTTATACATATACATTCACACATACATCCATACACACATACATACATACATACAGCTTGCTACAAGGCATCCAACGAAGGCCCCCAGGACCCCCGCTGTTAACGAAGAAAAATGAGACGCGCAAACAGGCCGGTTCATAAAGCAGAGAGACAGAGACAGAGAGAGAGAGAGAGAGAAAGAGTTAGACCGTAAACCTCAAACCACCTCTTATGCCCTCAACCCTGAAACCCTAATCCCTGAATCCGAAACTCTAAACCCTGAAACCCTAAAGCCCTCAAGCCTAAACCCTGAACGCCTAAACTTAAAGCCTCTGATGCCACAAACCGCTAAGTCCTAAACCCTAAACCCCTAGACCCCTAAGTCCTAAACCCTAAACCCCTAAACCCCAAAGTCCCAAACCCTAAACTCCGAAACCCCAAAGTGCCAAACCCTAAACCCCTAAACCCCAAAGTCCCAAACCCTAAGCCCCTAAACCCCAACCAAGCCCTGAACCCCTCAACCCTGAACCTTAAGCCATGGCTAAGGAAGGCGAGTACTGCCAGATGGACAACTATTCCTTCGACTGCGGTCCGGCGGAGGCCCCAACAGGGTTTGGGCTTTTAGGGTTTAGGACTTTAAGGTGTAGGGTTTTAATGTTTAGGACTTTAGGGTTTAGGGTTTTAATGTTTAGGACTTTAGGGTTTAGGGTTTAGGGTTTAGGAGTGTCTGTTTCGATGAATATTTGGTAGGGTGCTTGCCTTTTGGGTTTCTTTTCCTATGGAAATTACAGGCTTTGAATCCGGAATTGCTTTTGTGCGCGTAACTTCTGCAAGGTTGTTACGCGGAGGTTGTGGGGATTTACGTAAAACATTGCAGGGTTGATTCTACAGATTCAGTTGTCAGGGCTGGGGGTTGGGTTGGGGATTGTGCTATTGGGGTTTAGATGACTTCCTCCGCATTGCTGTATTCTGTGCCCTAACTAAGCCATAAACCCTAAACGCTAAACCGCTCGTCGGGTTCAGGGCTTAGGGTTCCTGATCGGGCGTCAGGGATTCAGGCTCTAAGGGTTTAGGATTCAAGGCAGCACCAGACAATTGCGCAAAACAATAGCAGCCCCAAGCCACAACCACCAAGCAACAACCAAACAACACACTACAAACAACACACAGCCGGCGACACACACTACCACCGCCAGCACCGCCAGCACCGCCAGCACCGCCAGCACCGCCAGCACCGCCAGCACCGCCAGCACCGCCAGCACCGCCAGCAGCAGCAACAGCAACAGCAACAGAAGAAGTCACGGCCACGGCAGCTCAATAATGGGACCAGCAACAGCAACATCAACGTCAATATCTTACATTTTGAAGGCCAATCCACATTCACGGTGCTTAACGTATAAGCTCTGAGCCTTCAAACCTGTACTCTGACCCTTGCAGCTCCAGTCTAACCCAGTTTGGAGCCAGGTTAACAAACTCTATACCCGTGGCGCACCGCAATGCAGTCCTGCTTTGTCTCCAGGACTACGGCCTCGTCGCAAACGCTTCCAACGTGCTGGGAAACAGCAAAGAGAAATGCTGCGATGTCGCTTTGACTCCAGTGCTGTTGTTATTTTACTATCATCGGAACTTATATTGGGGAGCTTTTGAAATGTTGGTGTAGTACTGGACGACAATGGTAGGAACAGCAACTAGTAGTAGCATCCCTCGTCGTCTCGTATCTGTGCTGGTACCAGTTCTAGCAGATTCTAGCAGCACGAAGATTTGGACGATGCCGTCCACGGCGGCAAAAGCGACGAAGCTTTGCACACGACGGCGATGACGAGGATGAACGGCTCTTCCGCAGCAGCAGCAGCAGCAGCAGCAGCTTCTTATGTGACTACAAGTGCTTCTGCTGCTGTCAACTTCGCTTTTTGCAACTACGGCCGCAGCTGCTTTTAGGCTGCTATCAGAGCAGCACCTTCTTGTGATTGCAAGCATACCTTTAAGCACTTATTCTTCCAACACGACTCTCGTAGTACTTTCCTTGCACTGCCTTTCTGTTTACAGCCTTGACCGAGTTGCTTCCTCTTCTGAGAGATCTTTTTCCTGTTCGTTGAAGTTCATGGCTGTGGGACTTCAACACCCTCGCGTCTCTGGGTCCGAAGGGCAAAGGCTGTCCTTCTTTCTCCTTAGATTCTCCCTCAAACAGCTTTGAGTCGCAGGCTCGGGGGTTTGAAGTCAAAGGGTTCCTAAACCCTTCAAAGCTCGTAGGCGGAAATCGGCAGTCCGAAGGGACCCGCAAGTTTGGGCTTTGGTGCGGTGGTTGTACCTATTCTCGAAATAGGGGAGGGGGGAGGGGGTTCCATTGTGCTGGGGTTGCGGATTGGGTTTCTGGAGTTTGAGCTGTAGTTTTCAACCCCTGGTTCCTTCAGCATAGTATAGATGCCTGAACAATTCCACCACCTATTCCGCAGGGGCCCATCATGTATCTATGCTTAAAATCTACACCCAAAGCTCCCAGTCAAATTCGGAACGCCCCTGTATTGACACAAGGTGAAGAAGTGCGACACCTACAAGTGCCCCGACAACACAACGTGGGAACCAAACCCGAAGGCCGTGGTAGGCCGGCTCGTTGCCTTCCTGTGATACAGATGGAGAAGAAGAGGAGGGCGGTGCTGAAGACGAAGAAGCACGAGTTGATGATGCGATGATGCTCATGATTAGTGATTATGAGACTATGATAATGAAGAGAATGAGATGATGATGCTGATGTTGATGCGGGTGGTGATGATGATGACGACGGTGGTCATCGTGCTGATGCTAGTGAGAAGGATGGTGTTGATGGTGATGCTGGTGAGGATGGTCATACTGATGCTGCCAGCTGCTGCCGCTGCTGCTGCTGATGATGATGTTGATGCTCAGGCGCCTTGGTCATGGTGATGGTGTTGATGGTGCTGAAGACGAAGGCAACGATGCAGCCGTGATGCTGAAGGACATGGCAATGATGATGAGGATGTTGGTGACCAGTTGGTGATGGTGGTTATGATGCCGGCACCCATGTCTATGCAGACGATGGTGAAGAATCACAGCCACAACGATGTGAAGAACAGGCAGGGGAAATACAGATTTGTTTCGAAAACATAAGCTGGTTGTACACGTGTGGTACTTTTGAAACCGGTGCAATGTCCCAACGAAACACAACGAAACAACAGCCCGACTTGTTTGGAAAATCGTGGTTTGGGACAATAGAAGCTATTTGGAAAAGCTATGAACCAACGAATAGATCTTTTGAAGCATGCTGCCTTTTGTGAGAGGTCTACTTCTACTACTACTACTACGACGACGACGACTACTACTACTACTACGACTACCA